GGTTAGTGCAAAAATAATGACGTAATAATGTCATTTTTTGACGTATTTTTAACGTCAAAGAACGACATTATTACGTCATTATTTTTGCACCAACCTAATATCTAATCTTCCGCGTCTGCTTGATTCTAGTGTTCCCGACCTTCAAATCGCATTCCGGGTTCATCCTATTATTGATGACCATGCATTCTGTTTTCTTGTAGTTTATACTTAGTCCCTTCTTCTTAGTCCCTCCGTCGCTACCTTCTCTAGATTTTGTAATTCCTTTTCCGTGTCTGCTATCAGTACTGTGTCATCTGCGTATCGTATGTTGTAATGGTAAATCCCGGTATGGTTTCCAATTCTCTCAGAATTGCCGCGCTGTATATGTTGAACAGGTCTGGTGAGAAGACACATCCTTGCCTTTACCTTTCTATTTTTGTATTCTCCCAAATATATCAATGTTGATGAGCAGTTCCAGCAGATCCTCGTGGTTTACTTTCTCGAAGGCCTTTGCACTGTCTATGAAACATAGATACACCTCCTTCTGCATTTGTAACGATTCTGATAACATTCTGAACATGAATATTGCATTTCTTGTTCCAGTGTTTTTAACGAACCCGCACTGTTCTTGTCCTATCTTTCACCTGATTCGCATTTTGGGATCAACGTTTTTCTGATGACCATGCATTCTTTTTTCTCGTAGTTTGTACTTAGTCCCTACTTCACATTCTCCGTCGAAAAGTTTTATTTCATCAAAGCGTTTCGGTTAATAATATAGTGTTTAGTAGGAAATCATTTCACCTTAAGCAAGGCAACAAAGCCGCAAGAGGTTACTGAGTGTGAAAGGATATTAGCAAAAGAAAACATTATTAAGGGAAGAGAGAACAATAAAAGATCAGGAATTTAAATAAATAAAAAAAAACAGGAAAAAAATGATTATCACTTCATTTAAAGTTTTGAAGATAAAACTTGACAGGGAAACGTGAAACCGGAAGAAGATTTCACAAGCGAGATTTGCGTGTGAAAAAAACCCATGGGCTAGTGCTTACAGTTAAGCCTCAACGTTTCAGCTGTCAATCTATTACGGTGCTTAAATTCGAGGTAGCAAACAGGAACCATATCAGGAAAGTTACCATGGAAATCTTTATAGAAAATGCAGAGCAAATCTATATTACGGCAATAGGAATGGCGGCTGGAAGAGAGTTCTTCAAGAGAGAACGTCGACTGAAGAACCTATCAGCATAGAACTTACGGTTATATCTAGAAATTTGAAGTCTAAAATGATGAGACCTCGTCTTGTACTGCGCTTAATTTCGTAAAATTGAGGTACAGAAGAGGACGACAACGGTACGGCTGTGGGAAAGTAACCGAGGCCAAGATGCCAGATCTGATCCTATAATATTGCCGATTTTTTTCTGGATTTCTTTTCAAGAATATCTAAACACATGGCAGAAGCAGTTGACACGATACGACAGTAATATTCAAAGTGTGGATGAATGACTTACATATAGACGAAATGAAACAACTTTCCCAGCAAGTGAGTTATCAGTTGATTTAATATAATCGTTCCACGTAATATCAGTGGAAAATCTAACCCTGTCAGAGAAGGCGCGACTAGTCACTCTTCTGGAGGTTAGCATCAGCCGTATTGATAGAATGCAAAAAAAAAAAGCTTTTTCTAACGATTACCAGAATGCGATTTCGTTTTAGAGACATTAAAATTAAAAATTAATAAAAATATATTTCTCATTCATTTTGATATACATATTATTCTAACGCATTAGCATAATAGAATGTATTTTTAATAAAATCACCGGCAATGTATTTTCATCGTAAAATCTCTTCATGCATTTTCATAGTAAAATCATTGGTAATGTATTTTCATAATAAAATCATTTGCAATGCATTTTCATAATAAAATCATTTGCAATGCATTTTCATCGTAAAACCATTGGCAACGAATTTTAATAGTAAAATCACTGGCAGTTCATTTCATAGTAAAATCATTTGCATGCATTTTCATTGTAAAATCATTGGCAATATATTCTATTAGTAAAATAATTTGCAATGCATTTTCATAGTAAAATCATTTGCAATGCATTTTCATAGTAAAATCATTGGCAATGTATTTTCATAGTAAAATCATTTGCAATATATTTTATAGTAAAATCATTGGCAATTGATTTTCATAGTAAAATCATTGGGAATGTATTTTCATAGTAAAATCATTTGTAATGCATTTTCATAGTAAAATCATTTGCAATGTATTTTCATAGTAAAATCATTTGCAATATATTTTATAGTAAAATCATTGGCAATTGATTTTCATAGTAAAATCATTGGGAATGTATTTTCATAGTAAAATCATTTGTAATGCATTTTCATAGTAAAATCATTGGCAATGTATTTTGATAGTAAAATCATTGGCAATGTATTTTCATAGTAAAATCATTTTCAAGCATTTTCATAGTAAAATCATTGGCAATGTATTTTAACAGTAAAATCATTTGCAATTCATTTTCATAGTAAACTCATTGGCAATATATTTTAACAGTAAAATCATTTGCAATTAGTTTTCATAGTAAACTCATTGGCAATGTATTTTAATAGTAAAATCATTTGCAACGCATTTTCATAGTAAACTCATTGGCAATGTATTTTAATAGTAAAATCATTTGCAATTCATTTTCATAGTAAAATCATTGGCAATGTATTTTAATAGTAAAATCATTTGCAATTCATTTTCATAGTAAAATCATTTGCAACGCATTTTCATAGTAAACTCATTGGCAATGTATTTTAATAGTAAAATCATTTCCAATTCATTTTCATAGTAAACTCATTGGCAATGTATTTTAATAGTAAAATCATTTGCAATTTATTTTCATAGTAAAATCATTTGCAACGCATTTTCATAATAAACTCATTGGCAATATATTTTAACAGTAAAATCATTTGCAATTCATTTTCATAGTAAACTCATTGGCAATGTATTTTATAGTAAAATCATTGGCAATTGATTTTCATAGTAAAATCATTGGCAATGTATTTTCATAGTAAAATCATTTGTAATGCATTTTTATAGTAAAATCATTGGCAATGTATTTTGATAGTAAAATCATTGGCAATGTATTTTCATAGTAAAATCATTATCAAGCATTTTCATAGTAAAATCATTTGCAATTCATTTTCATAGTAAAATCATTTGCAACGCATTTTCATAGTAAACTCATTGGCAATATATTTTAACAGTAAAATCATTTGCAATTCATTTTCATAGTAAACTCATTGGCAATGTATTTTAATAGTAAAATCATTTGCAATTCATTTTCATAGTAAAATCATTTGCAACGCATTTTCATAATAAACTCATTGGCAACATATTTTAACAGTAAAATCATTAGCAATTCATTCTCATAGTAAACTCATTGGCAATGTATTTTAATAGTAAAATCATTTGCAATGCATTTTCATAGTATCATCATTGGCAGTGCATGGGGAAATCGAGGTATTGATAGGAAGAAACAAAAAAACAAATAAAATATTAAATGGGAAAGAGTTATATTGAAAGAAAGAAATAAAAAAAGAAACTGCAAGAGGAATACAGTGAAAAAAGAAAATAAAAAACAAGGTAATATAATGGGAAAGTCACACATTGAAAGAAAGAAAGTTATTTTTCATTCTTCATCACAATGGATAATCTTTGCAATTTCGTACCCACAAATAAAGATTTTCCATTGCACATATTTGGCCGTCATCTGAAAAACAAAACAATTATATTTCAGAAGAAAATCTATATTAGGCTAATTACTGGTTTTTAAACAAGAAGGTAGGATTTTACTATGAAATGCATTGAAAATGATTTCACTAAGGAAATGCATTGCCGATTGTTTTTTTTTTTTTTTGTATGAACATAAATTTGCAAATGGTTTTGCCATGAAAATGCATTGGCCAATCATATTTACTATGAAAATTTTTTGGTCGACATGATTTTTTCTATGAAAATTCATTGCAAATGATTTTTATTAAGAAAATTGCCTCTAGCTAAGATGGAAACCCGGCTGAATTGGCGTCAGTCGGGGGATTCTACCACTAATCAGTTGGCGCACGGCAGGGATGAAGGTTAATTCAAGCGTATTTATTTTTAGATAAACACACAGTGACCGAGAGAACTCGATTCGATTTACCGAAGAGTTTTGCTTTATTAGCCGTAATAGTCACTGTTTACAAACTGACACTTCCTCCGCAGAGAGCTCAACCGAAATACATTTTTCAGGGGCATATGGCAAAAATTATTGATATATATATATATATGAAAATTATTGATATATATGAAATATATATATATATATATATATATATATATATATATATATATATATATATGGAAACAGACATATATATATATAGATAGATAGATAGATATGGAAAGAGACATATATATATATATATAGATATATATATATATATATATATATATAGAGAGAGAGAGAGAGAGAGAGAGATGCAGATACATACATACATACATACATATGAACAGACATGGCTATCTAGCTAGAAAGATAGATATATAGATATATAGATCAGATAAATACACACACGCACGCACACACACAAATATATATATATATATATATATATATGTGTGTGTGTGTGTGTGTGTGTATGTGTATAGACTGGGATAGATAGATAGATAGATAGATAGATAGATAGATAGATAGATAGATAGATCCTGTACAGTAAGGCTGTAATTGTTATGTAAGGCTAATACAATTCATTACATTTCCTCCCACTGAATACTAATTCTGAACGGAAGAACATCGTCCAACTGGAAGCGGGCATGTGCAAGCTGCGTGTAAAGAAGGTGGAAAATCTTACCAACATCATCAGCGCAGCCATGATAAAATGGTATCTCAATTCTCCAAGCTTCCGATATAGGAAGTTGACGAGAAATGTTACCCCCACAAGCCAGAGAAGGTGATCGAAAACGACCAAGCCAAGATATTGTAGAATTTCAAAATTCAAATAGATAGATAGATAGATAGATTGATAGATATGAACTGACTGAAGTAGATAGATAGATAGATAGATAGATAGATAGATAGATAGATAGATAGATAGATAGATAGGAACAGGCTGAGATAGATACTGTGGAATTTCATGGTCCATGAACGAATAAAAACGATGGAATCAAAGAACTAAGGAATAAACGAAAATGAAGGCAGGAAAGAAACAAAAAAAGAAAGAGGCAAAGAGAGGAAGAAAGAACGCATGAAGGCAGAAAGGAAAGAAAGAAAGAAAGAAAGAAAGAAAGAAAGAAAGAAAGAAAGAAAGAAAGAAAATGGGAAAGGGATACATTCAAAAAAGAAAAAAGATGGGAAAGCGAGGCAATGATAGAAAGAAAGAAAAAAATTAACAGATAAACAAATTAAATGTGAAAGAAAAAGAAAGAAAGAAAGATTGAAAAAAAAAAGGGAAAATGAAGAAACAATGGTATGGACGAAATGTATGAAAATAATGAATAAATGAAGGAATGAATAAATGAAAAAAAATTGAAAAACCGAAGAAATGAGAAAAAGAAAGAAAAGAACTAATGAAGAAACGAAAGAAAGGAATAAAAGAAAGAAAAGAATGGTGGATGAAAAAAGAAAAAATCAGAAAGAGGCATGGATGAAACAAGGTAATGCAAAAAAAAGAAAATCATCTTAAAAAAATTAAGGAAAGGTGTAAAGAAGGAATGATGAAGGAAGAAGAAAAGCCAAAAAATGGAAAAGGCAAAAGAGAAAAAAGGAGGATGGAAGGAAAGACGAGAAATGGGAAAATAGGGTAAAGAATAAAGGGATGAATGAAAAAGAAATTTTGAAGGAAGAATAAAAAAAGAAATGTAAGCGGAAAGAAAAGACGGTTGGAAAGTATGAAAGAAGGAATGAAGCCAAAAGAATGAAAGAAAAAAACGAAGAAAAAAGGAATAAAAAGAAGAAAGAAAAAAGAAAAAAAGAAAGTTGGAAGAAAAAGGAAGGGATAACGAAGGAAGGATAAAACAAGAAATGAAGGAGGCAAGAAAGGAGAAAGAAATAATAGGAAGGAAGGAAGGAAGGAAGGAAGGAAGGAAGGAAGGAAGGAAGGAAGGGAGAATGGTGGAGGGAAGGAAAGCATGATGGAAGGAAGGAAGGAAGGAAGGAAGGAAGGAAGGAAGGAAGGGAGAATGGTGGAGGGAAAGAAAGCATGATGGAAAGAAGGAAAGAAGTATGGAAGGAAGGATGGAAGGAAGGAATGGCGGAAGGAAGGGTGGAATGGTGGAAGGAAGGAGAGCATGATGGAAAGAATGAAGAAAGTATGGAAGGAAGGAAGGGTGGAATGGTGGAAGGAAGGAAGGGAGAATGGTGTAAGGAAGGAAAGCATGATGGAAAGAAGGAAGTAAGTATGGAACGAAGGAGGGAAGGAAGGAATGGTTGAAGGAAAGAAGGAAGGAAGGGTGGAAGGGAGAATGGTGGAAGGAAGGAAAGCATGATGGAAAGAAGGAAGTAAGTATGGAACGAAGGAGGGAAGGAAGGAATGGTTGAAGGAAAGAAGGAAAGAAGGGTGGAAGGGAGAATGGTGGAAGGAAGGAAGGAAGGGAGAATGGTGGAAGGAAGGAAAGCATGATGGAAAGAATGAAGAAAGTATGGAAGGAAGGAAGGAAGGAAGGAAGGAAGGAAGGAAGGGAGAATGGTAGAAGAAAGAGACTAAAGAAGGAAAGAAAGCAGGAATAAAAGAAAGAAGGAATTGATAAAAGAAGAAAGTTAAAACCTGCAAGAGGGAAGGAAAAATAAAAGAGGTAAAACTAAAGAATGGTAACGGTGGGGAGAGATCAGGAACCACTTTCAAAGAAAGAAAGAAACGAGTGTGGACGAATCCGTTCGAATCAAATGCTGTGGGCCTAAACACTTAAGAGGGTGTGGATGCGGGTGCGTGTTTAAGGAGGGAGGGGGGGAAGTGATCGTGTATCTTCAAAGGTGGCGGCACACGGCAGAGATCAAAAGAAAAGATGCGAAAAAATAACATCCGAAGGAGTTCTCGGGAGAAGAGAGCGGGGTGGGTGGGAGAAATGCTCTGCCGCAAAGCGAACTTTTTAGAAGTGAAATACTTAGATATGAGTGAAGACACACCGACAAATACAGAGACAAATATATATATATATATATATATATATATATATATATATATATATATATATATATATATATAGTGAGATTTTTATTTCCCGCCGTTCGATTTCCAGTCCATTTTGGTGCATATTTTAGAGATATTTGTGGCTGTATACGAAAAACACAGAAAATAAGTACACAGATACGGCTATCTATCTATCTATCTATCTATGTATCTATCTATCTATCTATCTATCTATCTATATATATATATATATTCAACAAACATATGTAAATTTCTTTTCATTTTTCAGTCAAAAATTTGTAAATTTCTTTCATTTTAACCTTTGGAAGTAAAGTCTGATGATCCAGAGCCCTTTAAAAGGGCTGTGGTGAAATAATTTATTATATGGAATCTTAAAGTGGTCCTCTGTTTTTATATATATATATGAGAATGGACTTTTCATTCATTATTTCAACATATTTTAATTTATTTTTTAAACATTATTTTTAATGGCTACCCTATATTTTAATAGATGCTCTGTCGGTTTTTATTTATTAAACATTATTTATTAATTTCCATCTGAGCTGCATTATTATTCGAGAAAGATTATTAGAAAAATAAGCGCACTTCGGCAGGATTCGAACCTGCATTCCGCTAGGGTAATCCGTCATTAGAGAAATCAAACGCGTCAAGATCTAGATTGAAATATATAATGTAATTCCAACGAGAGAAAACATGTATATTTTAAAGTGAAGTGAGAGAACGCAAACGTCATAATGTAAATTTTTAAAATATATATTATACTTTGCATTCCATATGATTTTATGTTAGTTTTAATTGCAAACTAATAGATTAAATTTGACATTTCCAATAAGAAAAACTCTTTGCTGTATTCAAAAACGAATTGAATTTCAATTGATTTATATTGGTTTATTTTTAAATCAATGAAAAACGGCAGATTTTAGTTATATTTACAATTCTTTCAGCTCAAGGCAAGTCTCTTTATTAAACAAATATACTTTTCTGGAACTTTCTTTGAGGAAGATTAGTTTATTTGTAGTTTAATTAATTTGATTTAAAACAAATATTTCAAATGATTGCTTAAATATTACAATATTACTTAATTTTACTTTAAAATATAGCAGGAAACCATTTTTAGCACGAAACTGGTTACTTTTAGTAGATGAGGACTGTTCTCTTGAGGCATTTTTACAAAAATAGCAAAGATGGATTAAATTCTCCAGGGACTACTTCTTATAATTAACACTGACATTGAGAACAACTAAAATGAAATTCACGAATTTTCATAAAATTAAATAAATGTTGGGTAACAAATGCAAAAAATATTTTCTCTCAAGATTTTTTAACAAGTGAAAGTTTTCTAAAATAATTTCATTCATGTGTGAATGAAGTCTGAAAGTTTCAGTAAAACCCAACATTTGATTTTTAAATAATTTCAAAATTAATGTGTTCTTCAACGCAAAAAAAACACTAAAACAAATTTATTGTCACGGTCACCTGGTGACAAAAGAAAAAAGTTAACCGAAATTTGGAAGATTCTAAAAAGGAGTGAAAACTATAATTTAATAATCAAAAAAATCCCTGCGTCTTTCTTCGTAATATTAATAGTTAGACTTAATATTTTGACGATAAAGTTTCGGCGGTCATTTTTACCGAATCTTTGGATTATTTTATCTTAGTTTCCTCTTCGTCAGTACTAATAATTTAAAGAAAAACAGACTAATTTAAGTCTCCATTGTAATAATTTATTTCACCAGAGACCTTTTAAAGGATGCAGGATCATCAGACATTACTTCCAAAAGGTGAAACGAACCTTTTGGAAATAATCTCAACATGTATTGTTGCTAATTTTTTATAACTATATATTGCTGGTAATTTTACTATAAATATGCAATGTGATCATTTAAATGTAAATATGTGTTGTTGGTTATTTTCTCTAAATATATATTGTTGCTAATTTTCCTATAAACATGTATTGATTGTAATTTTACTATAAATATGTATTGTGATCATTTTAATATAAATATGTATTTTTGGTTATACTTTCTGTAAATATGAATTGTTTCTAATTTTCCTGTAAGTCTATATTGCTGGTAATTTTACTATAAATAAGTGCTGTGATCATTTTACTATACATGCGTATTTTAAGTTATTTTTCTCTAAATATCTATTGTTGCTAATTTTATCGAGAAGTATTTATTTCTGGTAATTTCATTATAAATATGTATTGTGAAGGTTTTAATATAAATATGTATTTTTGGTTATATTTTCTGTAAATATATATTGTTGCTAATTTTCCTATAATTATATATTGCTGGTAATTTTTCTATAAATATGTATTGTGATCATTTTACTATAAGTATGAACTGTCGTTTATTTTCTCTAAATATTTATTGTTGCTAATTTTCTTATAATTATGTATTGCAGGAAATTTTCTTATAAATATGTATAGTGATCATTTTACTATAATTATTTATTTTTGGTTATGTATCTCTAAATATGTATTGTTACTAGTTTTTGCTGTAACTATGTATTGTTGGTAATTTTACTAAAAATATGCACTGGGATCATTTTATTATAAATACCTAATGTCAGTTATTTTTCTCTAAATATCAACAGTTACTAAATTTCTATAAACGCTGTATTGCTGTTAATTTTACTATAAATATATATTGTCGGTTTATTGCTCTAAATATCTATTGTTGCTATTTTTCTATAACTATGTATTGTTGGTAATTTTCTGTAAATATGTATTGTGATCATTTTACTATAAATATGTATTGTCAGTTATTTTATTCTAAATATATATTGTTGCCAATTTTCCTATAACTATGTATTGCTGGTAATTTTAGTAAAAATATGTATTGGGATCATTTTATTATAGATATGTATTTTTGATTATTTTAATCTAAATATGCATTGTTGCTAATTTTCCTATAAATATGTATTGCTGGTAATTTTAGTAAAAATATGTATTGGGGTCATTTTATTATAGATATGTATTTTTGATTATTTTAATCTAAATATGCATTGTTGCTAATTTTCCTATAAATATGTATTGCTGGTAATTTTAGTAAAAATATGTATTGGGATCATTTTATTATAGATATGTATTTTTGATTATTTTAATCCTAATATGCATTGTTGCTAATTTTCCTATAAATATGTATTGCTGGTAATTTTAGTAAAAATATGTATTGGTGTCATTTTATTATAGATATGTATTTTTTTGTTTTTTTAATCTAAATATGCATTGTTGCTAATTTTCCTATAAATATGTATTGCTGGTAATTTTAGTAAAAATATGTATTGGGATCATTTTATTATAGATATGTATTTTTGATTATTTTAATCTAAATATGCATTGTTGCTAATTTTCCTATAACTATGTATTGCTGGTAATTTTGGTAAAAATATGTATTGGGATCATTTTATTATAGATATGTATTTTTGATTATTTTAATCCTAATATGCATTGTTGCTAATTTTCCTATAAATATGTATTGCTGGTAATTTTAGTAAAAATATGTATTGGGGTCATTTTATTATGGATATGTATTTTTGTTTTTTTTAATCTAAATATGCATTGTTGCTAATTTTCCTATAAATATGTATTGCTGGTAATTTTAGTAAAAATATGTATTGGGATCATTTTATTATAGATATGTATTTTTGATTATTTTAATCTAAATATGCATTGTTGCTAATTTTCCTATAAATATGTATTGCTGGTAATTTTAGTAAAAATATGTATTGGGATCATTTTATTATAGATATGTATTTTTGATTATTTTAATCAGGTGTCTTGCTGTCAAATGTAGTCTATCCTAATACGCAATAAAATAAAAAAATCAATGCCATTTTAAAGGAGCTTAAGCTTTCAGGGTACTCTATCGGGAGAATTGTGTATGAGGACCTTTGATATAAGTCATAGTCCTATGACATGCAGAGTGTGTTACGGTTTTTTGGGTATATACCGTATGTAACTAGTGAGCGAGTCAAAATGACTTATTTCCCTTTCTAGTCGACCAATAGAAGGTTGACCAATCAGAAGCCGCACAACACTGTATCCGTCGTCTATAAAGGCGGCCATCTTTGTTTTGCTACTGGAATGACCAGAGGCAACTTGTCCGGCGAACATGACAGACGGAAGAACTACGCTCTGCTACTTTGCTGCGATATCCACTGCGAACCTGCACTACGCTTTCCTAGTGTCTCCGAAATATTCACTGCCAACCTCTGGATTCTATACTCGAGGACGACCGTCATGAAAATGTCTAACAGTGTGGTCCATTGATGTCTTCAAAGACAAAAGATATTTATCTGATTCGGGTAATGTTAACCAATGAGCAAGCGCAGAAAACTGGACCAAGAGCCTGGAATGTCTTCGTCTTTCTCTGACGAGAAAAAAAAAAAACTTTCGGAAAGACCAAACGTAAAAGCGAAGGAATGATATCCACTGGTTATACGCTTTCCTACTGTCTCAATATGCCCATTCGACATGCGCACAAAGTTTCCGCTCAGTGGTAATGGTTCGGGCAGTTGTCAGCTCCCGGATTCTTTTAAAATATCCAAAAACCGCCATAACTAGCCCAGTGTACCAAATAGTTAAAGATAATCTGATTCATACAACCAAAAAAAAGCGATGAATTACAATCTTCATTGGACAAACAATTTATTCGACAACTACGCACCAAGACACCCATTGTCACTCCCGATTTTTTAAAATAAAAACCGCCATAACTAGCCCAGTGTACCAAATAGTTAAAGATAATCTGATTCATACGACCAAAAAATCGATGAGTTACAATCTTCATTGGACAAGGATTTATTAGACAACTACGCACCAAGACACCCATAACACGATTAAATATCCAAGATCCGCCATAACT